TTTATCCAACTTATGTTCTTTTCCATGGACTGGCCCCTCCTGATAGCATGCCCCAAATCAGTGAGATGAAGTTTCTTATCTTTGCTTCTATGAACACTCTGAGTTCACTTCTACCAAGACCAATTTGTTTAGGAGTTTTAGATTTCCTTTCTCCCCCATGCCCTCACCAACACCAGAGTTCAAAGGTATGTATCATAAATTAAAATTAAATGGGTCATACATAATGTGGATGAATATGAAAATTTATTGATCACAGCCATTTGTAGGACAAGAGATGGATAATTTTTAGTAGTCATGAGTTAAAATCAACTTGCCATTGAGTTGGTATATATACAGCAGGAAAAAAAAAACCCTGAGCTAAACAAACTATACACAGAAAAAGATTATTTCTCTATATTAACACATGGATTAATCTCAGAGACATTATTTTGAGCAAAAGAAGCTAGGTATAATACACTTCTTTTTGTTGAATTTTTGTAAACATAAATTCCAGAAAAATTACTGATGGGATATGGGAGAGTGGGTGTTGACAGATAAAGGATACAAGTAGTGCCTTCTGTGGTGCAATCAATGTTTTATATCCTCTCTCCTAAGCCAATCTTACTGCCTCTGACTCACCAAACGTCATTACCCCCAGTTACCGTATCTGTCTCATCTTCACTTGGAGGTCTTCCTCTCTTGTACTGTCTCCTCAGTCTTCCAAGTATGATGTTCTACAAGGACTGATTCCTTCTGACAACATGCTCATATTATGTGAGACAGAGTTTCATATATATAAAGTAAAATATCACTTCATTGTACATTCATCATAATATCACATGTGATTAAATCATATATCAATATAAAAAATGTTGTATTAAGTTATTGTTAAGTGCTGTTGAGTCGAGTGTGACCAATGAACAACAGATCAGAACCCTTTGCTATTCTGTGCCATCTTCACCTTTTCTGACACATTTAAGCCCATTGCTGCAGTTACCATGTGCATCTCAGTGAGGGTCTTTCTCTCTCTTGTTGATCCTTCATCTTTCCAAACATCTTGCCCATTTTAATGGAATAGCCTATGCTAGCAAAATGCTCAAGGAAGCTCTGTTATTCTAGCGATAAGAAGCTTCATTTTGAACGAGTGGAAATCTAAAATCTGTGTAAATGTTCATTAAAATTAATAAAAATAAAAAAATATAAAAAAGAGAAAAAAAAGAAGCTGCATTTTCATCTCAAAGGTACACTGTTTGAATTCACCAGATGGCCCACAGAAGAAAGATGGACAATCAACTCCTGTGCAATTTGCTGCCTCTGAAAACTTCACTGCAGGATTAGCTATGAGTTGGTTTTAATTCATTGGTACACAACAATAATAACAAAGCAACAATCCAAAAGTATCTGAGATAAAACTTAACAATACTTGCTTCCAAGAAGCACTTTGGCTGTATTATTTCAGACATATCTGCTTGTTGTTTTAGCAGTCCGTGGGATGTTCAGTACTCTTCTCCAATACAACTCAAAGCATCAGTTCTTCTGTCATCCTGATTCATTGTCCAGTTCTCAGATGTATTATAGCAAGTGATGCATCCCAAGCTAATGTAATTAATAGAAAGTTAAATCTTCATAAAGTTTTTCTCCTATGCTGTCACTGAATTTATTATAATTAGATTTAAAAATTAGGATATTTGAGAGAAACAAATAAATGAAGAGATAGGAAAAGTAGCAGTAGGAGAGATAAAGACTATAAACAAAATGTGTGTTTTGAGATGCTTTCTACTTAAGTATTTCTCATTAATTTGTAAAGCACCATCATTCTTCACAGTATGTTGTCTTTCTGAAAATCTATGATTAGTTATCATCTTCCCATAAATTTATTTACTTATAAAATCTTCACTTTTCCAATTTTTAGAAAAAATCTAGTGATGTTTTAGATGGCAGTAACCATTAGATATATAAATGAAAAAGTTCCATTTATTGTATCATTTCACAAACTTAGAAATATTGATATTCTCGACAATTAGATTGTGACATATTTTATCTGTTTTAATAAATAAGGTGGAACTGACTAGACCACATGGAAATTGGAAGTTAACTAAGTTTATTGTTGCTGAAATGCTTGTACTTTGATGATGTCTCATTTCCAGTTAACTCAAAGTCCATTGCATCTTTGAAATGGTAAATGGAATTAATAATTTTTTAAAAACAGTTTTGAAAGTGCTTCTTTATAGTGTCAGGGCTGATTAAGGAAGCAGAGGGACCAAATTTTAAAAAGAAATTCTGAGAATTATTTACTTCTTAAAGCTGAGGTTATCATGACAATTTCTGAAGCTAACTTAAACTGCCCTTGTCTTTCATGGTAAAAAGAGAAGTTTAATACACTACCATCCACTTTGAAGCCATTAATATGGATCATACCCTAGACAATTTTTTAATCTTGGGCCTTGTATAGAGTGAATACAGAAAAAGATAGATGCTATTACCGTGATCATCCAATTTACCAAATTTCATACACACACAAAAGATCAGTTATTATTCTACTGGTCTTTTCTGCTATATTTAATTGTATCAACTATTTTTCTATGAACTCTTTGCTCAATTATTGCCAATTACTTCACTCTATTGCATCCACAATCAACATCCATGGTAGCACAGTCAAGAAATCAAAAGACATGTCACAGTGGGGACATCTCCTGTCAAGAAACTCTCTAAAGTTCTAAGAGAGCAAGGATGCCAACTTAAAGACTAAGGTATACCTGATCCAAGCCATGATATTTACAGTTGCTTCTTATGCATTTGAAAGTTGGAAAATGATAAGGATAACAGAAGAATGATTGATGCGTTTGAATTGTAGTGTTGGCAAAGAGTGCTTAATATCTCATGGCATATCCTAAGTGAATGAACAGAACTATCTTTAAATACCTTGTGTTTATTTTCTGTGTCCCAGTTAGATCATCCGACCAAAGCTACCTGTTAGTTGTTCTATATCTTCTCCCTATACTCTTCAATCCATCTTCCTCATTTCATAAATTGTTGTTATTTTCTATCAAGTTGGAACTGATCCATACTTGAACCTCTAGTGGGTTTCCAAAGTCAGAAAAATCACATAAGAGGAGATTGTTCCTCTTTCTGCCTCAGAGCAGCTGGTAAACTCAAACCGTGTGCCTTTGCATTGGCAACACAATTCTTTACCACTGAGCCACCAGAGCTCCCTTCATTTCATGTAGTATTCTGTAATCAAAATATAGAGGTTTTTTCCCTCCACTTTTCTCATTACTTAGAAGCAACTCAATGACTTTGCATTATCTTCCTCTCTCACTATGGATTGTTGTTATTGTGTGCTGTTAAGTCAGAACTGACCCATGCTGATCCTTCAGCACATTTTCAGAGATAATCAATTGCATAGGAGGAGATTACCTAGTTTTCTTTCACTGAGCTGGTGGATTTGAACTTCATGCCTTTAGGATTGCAGGGCAACTTTTAACACTAGGCCATTAGAGCCCTGTAGTGTGAATAGCTTGTCCTTGTCTCCTTTATAGACCATAATCTAGAAACTCACTTCTGTTTTCTCATTATAAACATTTCATTGCAATATCTCTTACTGTTTCTTCTTGCCTTTATTTTTCTTTAATATGCATCTCAGTGATATGTTCTCCAACACATCTTCACTGAACTAACTACTCAAATAAATGGATTCCCCTTGTTCACTTCAACAAAACCTGGTGAAAATTTCTTCCTTGGCTATTACTTTGTGTCATTTATAGACTATAAGCTTCTTGTACGCAATGTGCTGTTTATTATCTTTGTTCTCCAGTGCTTCTTATACTGTTGTTATGTGCCATTGAGTCAGAACTATCCTAGTGGATTTTTGGAGACAGAAATTTGCATGGGAGGAGATTACCTATCCTTCCTAAAGGTGTAAGAAGCACATCTTAAAGTACTTCCTATATGGATGATCATTAAGCAGATATTTTATAAGTGTGGTTTGAGAACGATCTTCTTATAGGGAAGTTCAAATTTATAAATGTTACTCAATCCAATGGCACTGAAACACTGGCTGCAGAAGGTTAAACATTTCAGCTTTCAATGTGGAATGCATCTCAACATCAAGAAAACAAATATTCTCATCGCTGATAGGAAATTTCCTATCAATGAATTAATTTTACTTGGATCCCCAATCAATACACTTGGTACCAGCAGTCAGAAGATCAGGAATCCTATTGCACTGGGAAAGTCTGTAGTCTGGGATCTCTCCAAATTAATGGGGAGTAGTGATTTCAATTTGATAACTGAGATGTGCCTAATTCAGGCCATGGCCTTTTCAGTCACTCACTAGGCATCTGAGATCTAAACAAGGGATAAAGAGAACTGAAGAAGAATGAATGCCTTTGAACTATGGATATTGGAAAAGAGTATCATGGACTAGCACAGAGGACAAACAGATATGTCTTAGAGAAGGTGCAGAAAGTGTACTTCTTGGGGACAAGGATGATAAGCTTTTTCTCACATACTTTGGGCATGTTTCTAAGACAAGGTATTCCTTGGAAAGGGACAAGATACTTGGAAAGGTGAAGGGACAGTGAAAGAGAAGACCCTCAACCAGGTGGATCGACACAGTGATTTCAGTAATAGGTTTGCCTGTGTCCGAGATTATGAGGCTGGCATATGATAGGACAGAGGTCAGATCTGTTGTTCATAGGATCACTGGGTGTTGTAGCAACTCAACAGTACCTAACAACAATAACAACCCAGTACAATAAAAGTGTTACACTAGTTCTGACTATTACCAACATCAGTTTATATACATAGAATTGTAACTGCTGAACAATACAATTGTTTTATTCTTATTTAGACCTATTTATCATTTCAATGACGGCAGTGAAAAATATGCCAAAGGCATTTAAATCAGCACCAGAGTTTCAATTGTTTTTCAGGCAGGATTAAAAAAATGCAAAGTAGACTATTCAGCTTTTTTTTTCTTTTTCTTTTTTGTTGTTGTGTTTTGTTTTGTTTTTCTGCAGATTGTTGCCAATTCCTGGGGAAAGTCCTGGGGAGAGAACGGCTATTTCAGGATTCTTCGAGGAGTAAATGAATCTGACATTGAAAAGTTGATTATCGCCGCTTGGGGCCAACTGACAAGTTTGGATGAACCATAACATCTCATTAAATTTCCATAAGGCCATTCATTTAAGCAACTCCTTAAATTGAAGTTTAGCAATGTGCAGTTCTCAGCATCAGTGGAATCTCTCCTTACTCTGTCATTATAATGTACCTGTTTTCTTGTTTTACCCCAGGCTCCATGTGACTGCTTCCTTTCTATTATGGAGTGCGTGAAAATACTAATAAACAGAGCACCACAGAGTGGATCAACACCCTTGAAGTTCTTAACTTGTCTTTTTTTCCCTCCTTTTGTTTTTTCTCTACTGCTAGTGTCTTCTTAGTCTCTAATAGTTTGCAAACTGTGTGACAGAAACTGTCTTAAAAGTTTATTGGATTATTGTAGAAGCCATCGTTTTTCTCATTGTTCAATAAAGATTTTAGGCGACTAAAAGTAACTGGACATTCATCACCTTACCATCTTTATAATTGTTTCTTTTAGAAGTTCATCAGGTTGTACTGGTAAATTCATCAATTAACCACCTTCGTAACTGTTAGCTTTTAACTTCCAACAACTGTTGCCTTAAATTACACGATTCTTCTCAGTATGCTAGTATTTTGGTTCTTCTCATTTGCTTAAACTTTAACATAACTTGTAACCAGGTCACAGAAGTAAAGTAACTCTCCATGGGAATGGGGCTTCTTTATGGTTCAATGTTCCTTGATAGGGAGACATTGAAGATTGCAAAAGCTTTAAGGCAAACAAGAAAAAGATACTCTATTTTTGGAAGTCAGTGTGTTTGTGTAAAGTCGATTAAAATCAGCTGCAAAAATGTGATTGTGAAGATAACATATTTATTCCCCCAAAACAGCAACATGATACCATGAGTCAGAAAGAATAAATATCCTTTTATCACAACCTCCTCACAGTTCACTGCGTGAGAGTCTAAAAAGTAAGCTAAATTGGCATTAATTTGCATCTAATTTTTCATTTTAGCTCTCTATAGTCAGGGATCTAAAAATAGCATCGCCATAATAGTTGGGAAGGATATAATCTTTTAATAATTCATTGGCATCTTTTAAGTAGCAAAGTAATAAATGAACAAACAAAGCTGGTCATTAAGTGAGTATGCGAAATATAGTTGGAATAGATGCTGTACATAGCCTGAATATCTCCGTAGTCTGTCATCTTAGGATAAAGAGCTGCACTGGCAGCACAAAGGCGAAGGGTTCACATCGACCAGATGCTCTTCAGGAGAAATGTGGACAATCTCCACTCATGCCATTTATAACCTCTGCAAATCTCTGCTGGAGACACGGATATGAAATTGTGCCTATTCGATGACACAAAATAACAAGTGTCACCTCAAAGAGACTGGATGGTATGGTGGTTAAAGCTTCTAAATAAAGAGTTGACAATTTCAATGCATCAGCTGCTCTACGGGCGAAGGGGGTGAGGTGTGACAGTTTGATTCTGCATAGATATACTGCCTGCGGAATACTATAGGACAGTCTCTGTTCTATAGGGTTGCTATGAGTTGAAATTGACTTAATGGTGGTAGACTTGGCTTTGGCTGTTACCTTAACTTCTGATGTGTGGCTTTTTAAAATAGTTAAGTCCAGAGGTGTCCTGATTAAATGAACCAGACAGGCTGAAAAAGTGAAGAAGAAGCAGATAAAGGTGAAGTGTGTCTGCTACTCTTGTTTTCTTCATTAAATACTGAGGCCTTTTCAGAAGAGACACGTATATACTTTATTCTACTTAGAAAATATACATGAGAGAGATCCACCTTGTTAAGGTTGAGTAATAATCTCCTAGAGGCTTAAGAAATCGTTTGGTCTTCTTTCACTTTAGATTCCTCCAGGAGCAATTTTTGAGACAAGGATTTAAGAACAAATCACTTACCTAGGTGGTGAAGAAAATATTGAAAAGGGTAAGATGATGCAAGATAATGAAGCCAATGCTAAAGAGTATATTGTCAAGTAAATTAATACCATGGAAAGCTGATTCTGGCCTCACTGAAAATGTCGCTAAAGAGGAGCCACCACTGGATTGACAGCTGCACCAGAGAAATAGAAATTGCTTTGTCCTACGGTCTAGATGAGCTCTCATGGCCTAGTGTCAAGAAGCAGTGCTGCAATCCCAAAGGCACACAGTTCAAATCCCAGCAGGTGCTCCATGGAAGAAGAATGGGCAATCTCCTGCCATGCAATTAACTGTGTCTGAAAACCTGCTGAAGGGTCAGCTATCAGTCGGTTCCAATTCTATGGTACACAACAGCAACAACAACATGGTCTGGATCCTCACCTCTTATACAGAAGACATTAGTTTCCTTCTTGGTCAATGAACTTCATATGCAACTACACCTTCTTGTCAATGGACTTTTACATATCGTTTGATGATAAGCAGGTTTCAGTGTAGCTGGGTAAGTCTGTAGTCAGGGACCTCTCCAAATTATTGAGAAACAGTTTGAGGACTATAATGTGCCTGATTCAGGCTATGATTTTGAGTCACTTACAATTAATCTGAGAGCTAGACAGTGAATAAGGATGACAGAAGAATCGATACCTTTGAACTATGGTATTGGAGAGAGTGCTAAAGATCCTCTGAATTGAAAAATACAAACAGGTATGTCTTGGAGAAGGTGTAGCCAGAGTGCTTCTTGGAGGCAAAGATGATGAAGGTTCATCTCACATATTTTGGGCATGTTTCTAGGAGAAGTTATTCTTTGGAAAGGGACATCATACTTGCAAAGGTGCGGGAGCGGCAAAGAGAGGACAGCCTTCATCCAGGTGGGTGGACAAGGTGACTGTGACAATAGCCTTGAGTATGTCAGAGATAGTCACGGTGGAATGGGATAGGACAGTGTTCAGATCTGTTATTCACAGGGTTATTATGAGTCATACTTGACTTGACAACACCTAACACTAACAAGAAAAGGGCCCAGAGTTGTATATACGAAAATCAGAAAATGAACATTCTAGATATAACAATTTGACTCACACATAAGGTATTTATTCTCCAATAAATGGAGGTATAATATGAATTGAGCTAACAATCAATTATTTATTCATTGCAAATACCTTTTATCAGAAAGGTAAATGGCAACTACACACTTGGACTTCACCTGATGGTCTACACAGGAATTAGATTATTACATCTGTGGAGGGAAAAATTGTTGGAGAAGCTCAGTATCAACTGTGAAAACTAGATTAGGTGCTGATTGTGGAACAGATCATCAGCTACTCAAATACAAATTCAAACTGAAGATAAAGAAAATGAAATGAAATCCACAAAAAACAAAGTTTGACCTTGAGTCTATCCTACCTGAATTAAAAACAAACAAAGAAACAAACCATCTCAGGAACAGGCCTTGAGCACTAAAGAGTGAAGACCACATGAACTGTGAAAGGATATCAAGAATATCATCTAGGAAGAATACAAAAAGGTCATTACAAAGATAGAGGACGGGGAAAAAATACCAAGATGCATGTCAGAAGAAACTCTGAATATTACACTAGAATGCTGAGAAGCCAAAGAAAAGGAAATAAATCGAGAAGATAAGGAGCTGAACAGAAGGTTTTAAAAGGTAGCTTGGGAAGACAAAGCAAAGTATTATACTGAAATGTGCAAAAAGTTGGAGTCAGAAAGTCAAAAAGGATGAACTCGCTCAGTATTTCTAAGCTGAAGGAACTGAGGAACAAATTCAAGCCTCAAGTTGCATTACTTAAAGATACTATGGGCAGAATGTTAAATGATCCAGGAAACATCAGAGAAGAAGGAAGGACACAGAGCCCCTGTACCAAAAAGAACTGGCTGACAAAAAGAATTTAATGAAACAACATATGACCAAGAGGCAATGGTGATGAAGGAGGAAGTTCAAGCTGCTGTGAAGGAACTGGCAAAAAACAAGACTCCAGGAATTGATGGATATGTTTCATTATCAAATGCCTTTTCATAGTCAATAACAGACATATAGACATTTCTCTGGTATTATTTACTATCAGACAAGATTAATTTTACACTGGTGATAATATCTCTGACGTCTTCAAAACCTGGCTTATATTTCTGGTAGTTCTTTGTCTATGTACTGTTTCAACCATTTTTGCATAATCTTTAGCAGGATTTTGCTTTCATCTCATGTCAGTGATATTGTTCAGTAATTTCCACACTCTGTCAGGTCACCCTTTTTGGAATGGGAACAAATATCAATCTCTTTCAGTCAGTTAGTCGGATAGTTGTCCTTAGGATTTCTCATTTGAATGTGTGGATCATAACAGATTATGGCTAACTAACATTGACAAAAATGGCGGATTCCTAGAACCCTTGATTGTGCTCATGTGAAAAATTATACTTGGACTAGGAAGCAGTAGTAAGAAGAGAGCAAGGAAACACTGCATGGTTCAAAATCAGGAAAGGAGTGTGTCAGGGATGCATCCTGTCTCCAGACCTTTTCAATCTATGTTCAGAATATATCATTCTGGAGGCTAGACTTTATGAAGAGGAATGTGTCATCAGGATTGGAGGAAGACTCATCAATGATCTGTCTTGTGAAGATAACATACTCTTGCATGCTGAAATGGAGGATGACTAGAAGTGTTTGCTGTGGAAGGTCAAGGACTGCAGTCGTCAGTATGGATTGAAGCTCAATATCAAAAACACAGATTCTCACCACTGAGCCAACTGACAGCATCATAATTGATGGAGAAGGGACTGAGATTGTTAAATTTCAGCTTCCTTGTTTCCACAATTAACACTTTTGTTACCAGCAGTCAGGAAATCAAAAGATGAATTGCGTTAGAAATGCCTGCTGTCAGGGACCTCTCCAGAGTTCTGAAGAACAACAATGTCAGCTGAGAGACTAAGGCTTGATCCAGGCCACGGTCTTTACAATTACTTGCTATGCATCAAAGAATTGGACAATGACTAAGGATTACAGAAGAAAAATACATGCCTTTGAGTTGTGGTGCTGGAGAATATTATTGAACATACTTGGAACTCCCAAGACAACAAACTGGTCTGTCCTGGAGAGGGTGAAACCAAGGTGATCCTTGCAGGCAAGGATTTTGATGTTCCGGCCCACATACTTTGGGCATGTTGCCAGAAGGGGCAATTCCTTAAAGAAGGATATCATGCTTAGAAGACTGGAGGGCACCACAGTAGAGGAAGACCTTGGATGTCATGGGTTGACATGAACTGTGGTAATGGGGATAGATACATGGAGACAAT